ATGCAGCCTTTCGACTTTTAGACCTTGCGATAATTATTACTAAAGTAAAGAAAGGAGGGAAGGAGAGGGCCTATATTTAATTTTGACTTGGGAATGAAATTATTTTAACAAAAAATAAATATTTTTATTATGGAATTAATTTTTGGGGGAAAAAAAAGGGAGGGGAATAGAATTGGAAGTTAGTTATGCTCTTATGGAAAAAACAAAAAATAAGTAAAAAACGGAAGTTATTAATATTAAAAAAAATAAAACTGAAAATTTTTTCGGCAAAAGGATTCAAAAGTAGAATAGAAATAGAATTGTTATTTTTTTCATTGATAGAGAAAAATTTTTTTTTAAAAAAAATATAAAATCAAGGAAGGAGGGGGAGGGGTGTTTTTAAGAACAAAATTATAATACATACTTTTAATATTATATATATTTTTTTATTATATTTTATTCTAGGAATTTAATAAATAAATTTTAAAAAGTTTATGGTGTGCCATAAGATCTATTTTTATGGGGATTAGGTGTGGAATAACAAAGTAGTTTTTTTCTTTACAATAGTTAAAATTTTATTATTTTTTTTTCCGGTCATGGGATACTTTATTTGAATATTTTCTGAAGGAAAATGAAATGTGATAACACTATCCCCGGTCTATTTTGAACCTTGGCATATTAATATAAAAATACAGAAGATATCTCGATTTTATAAGACTATACTATATTTGTTATGGTGAAAAATTGCTAAATAATTATAAATTAAGAAGAATTAAATAAAATTTCAGAAAATCTTACTAAAATATTTTAATTGATAAATGGTTTATTTATATAAAAATTAATCTTAATAAACAAATTATGCAATTTGAAATAAATATTTATTAAATGAATATTTAAAAGATTTCTTTTTAGAAAAATGTTAACAACTCTACGTATTAATTATTTTCGCTTTAAAATGTTAACTCTAAAGTGTGACTAAAAAAAGGCCGTTTTAATCTGTACTTTCTCACTCTTAAACATTTTAAAAAGATTATTTGATGAGTACTTAATATTTATAAATTTATCATTTGCCAATCACAAACCAAAAACAATTATAAAAATAAAAACTATAACATTACTCATTAAACTGTCTTTATCGGATTTTGAATGGCGATTCAAAATCAATTACATCTAAATTAAAAGGGATTTTCCCAATTCCAGAATATTTTTGAATCATATGATTTTGCGATCCTTATAGATATTTTTTTTATCTTTTCTGTCTATATTTATATAAAATATTAGTTATATTTTGAAAAATTTTGATATGAATCTGAATCTAATATTAAAAAGTAGCCTTAAGCACGAAGTTAGCCATAAGGACAAACATTAATTATGAAGCGTAAGCCAATATATATTGCTTAGTAGTTGTAATACATAAAGGTTAGTGCTTAAAAATATATTAATTTTTTCCCCTAAATTACTCAGAATTACTACTTAAAGTAATTTTTACTGAATTCTCAAAAGTTGCCAAGTAAAAATTTTAATTTTCTCAAAATTGAATTTCTTAGAAAATATAATATATGGCTCAGCATATTTTACTATATATTTTTATTTTTAAGCGAAGCATGATTATTTGAGCTTTCAAATTAATCATTAATCTATGTCTTCTGGTGGTTTAAATCATGAGAGGGTAGGGGTAAACATTTTTCCAAAAAAATATCTAGATAAAGTTATCAAATCCTCTCCATCTTTCCTGATGTCGAAATCTTCAATCGATTTCTGTTTTCGTAAAAATATCCCAAATCGACATATTTCTTTAAAGTATAACTAGGAATTATTAGTCCCTTAATGGACATGGTGGGCATAGTTTATTCCACTAACATTAGGTGGGAATTGATTGTTTCTTATAGAAATTACTGCCTTAATTAACTATTAAACATGACGTTTATACTTTTGAAATTAATTTTATCACTTAAAATATTTTTGAGTACCGTAGTTAACCAGGTCAAATACTCCTCCCGTCAATTGACTTAAATTGAACGGTCAATTGACCGACTTGCCAATTCTGATTAAAAGTATTCAAAAATCATCTTCAAAACCTAGTTTATGGTGTGTACATCCTATCTGTTTTTAATTAATTTTAGACGATTTAAAAAGTTTGGAAATTTGTTTTTTAAGGGCTATGTGTGGAATAATTGTAAGCAGAAGCTAATCTGATCAAATAAAACTTAGATTGTTTCAATCTAATACGGGAGACCGGACCGGGGTTATTTTTATCCATTAAAAATAAGTGTTATAAAAATAGACTAAGCAAATTTATCAAAATATAGAATTTTAAAAAATATCATGGTTTGTCAAGTGATTAAATCTATATTTTATTTACTTTTAATTTAATGACCCGTATTCCCTCAAAACTATCAAAAGTCGTAACAATTTCATTAAAATTATTTTATTTATTCTATGACAAATATAAAATTATTTACAAATATTAATAAAATGAATATCAAAAAAGATAACGTTGTTTAACAAATTTATATTAAGTTTTATGATTAAAATATCGTCTAAAGTATATTTGTCAAATTTATTTCGTAATGTGGTTACTTTGTAGTGCACTGAAGGATCTTTCCATCGATATATGTGAGCAAAGATCAGCTAGAACTACTCGCTAGAGGGATATTTTGGATAAATGTAAAAATATTTTGATGGGAAGGCAATTTTAGGCTATACATTAATTTGTAATATCCATTATCGAATTAGAGTTAAACAACAAATAAATTGATTTCAGCTTAAAATTAAAGTCGGGCTACTAGAGTCAACTCATGAGGTGACTAATGTCAACTCCTGAGCCAGCATATCTAATCTGTTTGAGCCTTAGCCAATTTTTACAACTTTAGGGCAAGAATTAAATCAACATAAATTATCCTCATTTTTCGATGATATATGAATTATAAATATCTAAAAATCGATAAATTCCTATAATAAATTTTTCCCGGTCTCAGAAGGTAATTATTTCGAATTCCATATCAATTATTTAATTAATATGAAATTGAATTACTCGTCCTCTAATTTTTAATTTTGAATATAAGTTTACAATTTAAAAAAAAAGACTATTATTGAAATATTCGTCCTCTATGCATAAAATTGAGCAAAACATTAACAATAAATTATTATAAGTTGATTTGGGTTGGGGCTCGGGTCGCTGCTCGGGTCTATGGATTTGGTTGCTTTGGTTTTGGTTCATTTTTTCGACCAAAAACCCAACCAAAAATCATGCTTATTCGACCCAACCAAGCAATTTAACAACACTACGACTACACATTGGCATAAGTTTCGGTAATTGATCCTCACTTACTTCAAGTAATTCCGTCAATTTCATGCTTTTAAAATGAATATAACTCGGTTATTAGTTGATACTGATATGTTTTAGAGAATATTAAAACACAAATAAAATACTAAATAATTGCTAAATTTCAGATCATGATCCTTCTTATTTTCGATTTTGGCAAGTGTTATACTTGCTTATTTTGCTTATAACTCAGTAACGTTTGATTCCGTTTTTGTCTGGATTAAAGATCAATTAACGGGCGGTTTAAGTTTTGGTAATAGATCCTCAAGTCGTTCCACTAGCTTCAAATTTTTCCACTTTCAATATAACTCACTAAGGTTAGATTCCGCCAGTGTCTTGTTTGATGATCAATTAGGACTCCAAATGTTGGCATAAGTTATGTTAAGTGATCCTCAAGTCGTTTCGCTAACTTCACAGATCTTATTGTAACTTGTTTAAGATATGTAGTATGAGAGAAATTAGGGCATTTCCCTTTACAAAATAATAAAGTCAAAACTTCTAGAACCACCATCTAAGCTTTATATATATGTACCAGAGACCTGCAGACCCGGCTCTAAATCCGGGTCGGATTTCAATTTTTTAAAATATATACGACCCGGGATGGGCCTGAAATTTTAAAACCAAATATTTGAAACTATAAAAATAATATATTTAAAAAAAATTCGGGCCGGGCCTGAAAATTTTTTCATAAAAAAGGCTTAGCCGGGCCATAAAAATTTTTTGAAAAAAAACCAGGCCGGCAGTGCAAATTGTACTTCTGCAGGTCTCTGATTTGTATATTGTACTAAAAATACCAAAGGATGATAAGTATCGTTTTCTTTTTATACCAATTTCTGTGTTTGCCTTTAATTTTTTCCATAAAAGTAAAAAATTTTTAGGCTAATGCTAACTCAATATCTTCGAGATATTCAAATTGGTAAAATATGCTCGAGTCTTACATATGAAATCTTTTACAATTATTTTAATTACTAAATGATCAGGTTAAAAATAGTTTAATTTTTGTTGATTTCTCCAGATACATAACTTAACGCATGTATTTTGGGTGAAATTTTAAATATAATTCCATGATAGTAAGATTTTGGTGCTAATTTTTTTTTATTTTTATTAATTTGGATTTCCTTCTGGAAATTTAAATTATCTTATATTTAATTATACGGAAATATTATCATTGAACGGTATAGAACCGATTATAACAAAAAATTCACTAGTATTTGGTTTTGGAAATAAAATAATTAAACTAGTGATTATTTGTTTCTTTTAACACCTTCATTAATAAAAGGACTTTATAAACAAACGTTCAGTCTCTAAATTCGGAACTCCACACATTAATATAAGGAAGGGAGATTGCTGCCCAACGCCATGTTACATTTGGAATTCAATAAGAATGCTTTTAAGGTAATGGATATTTTTTAAGTAAACTAAGTAATCAAGAGTTTATCTAAAGCGTTTGATAGAGGGGTAAACTTTCATATGCCCCAGCCCACTATAGATTTTAATTCAACCTCTTTAAAACCTTGATTTAATATTTCGATGACTGGGGGAGGGTAGAAGTAATTTGCCTCCATATATCATTTAGGGAGCAATGGAGCCTTTTAATGTTGATTTTAAATTGTTTGTGGAAGATTGTAAACATAGGATCTAAATAGGGCATGGCCTTATACTGTTCTTATAAGTCTAAACATTTATTTGAATACCTTCTTTGTTTTACTTCATATATATATAATAGCTATACAAGTCAGAAAAATAACTAATTATACAATATTTTTAAATATACACTTATTCATAAAATATTATTTTTTTACAAATATATAAGATATACAGAACGCAAATTCAACAAAAGTTACAGAAAAAATTTAAATATTTTCATAAATATTATCAAAATCATATTAATGGTTAATTTCCCATAGAGTTTGAGCCAGCGTTCGAGATGCTTCTGTTCTGCTCAATGCCAACATTGAAATATAAGTTTCGTAAATCTTAATTTTCCTAAAATAAAATATTAGAAGCATTATAATATGATTTTGTATGTTCATATTTATTGTTATAAAATCAGTGAACAAAGAATTGAACATAAAATATTTAAAAAATTTGAAAGAAATTCAAAAATTTTATAAGGTAAAAATGAATCTCGGAAAAAAACCCCCGGAAAATAAACCCCCAGGAAAAAAACCCCGAAATTTTTTTTCGAATTTACTTAAGATCTAATAATATCGGTATATTTTTATTTGGATTTAATAAGATATAAACAAATTAGTATTTTAGAAAAGAATATTATAAAAATATAATTTAATAATAAATATTTTTAGGCCCCAATTCATTACTTAAAGATTACTCATATTTTTTTCCCAGTACCAATTTGAACATCAGCATTTTTTCTTGTTTAAGCACTGCGATTTTGTTTTCAGTGCCCAACTACCTACACGTTCAAGTTTGGTTTCATCGGCAGCCACCTCGCATTGATGGGTGTTTATTCCCAACCAGATTAGAAAAAACGATAATTCCAACCTTCGCATTGATTAAGCATGCGTTCTTCGTCGGATAGAGTGCTTTCATTCACGTTTCAAGTTTCTGGAGAAAATCGAGGGCCAATTCGACGTGTCTGGGATTAAGAATTGCTTCTTGTGACCTCACTTGATACTCCATTGATGTAATTTTTATCAAAATATTCAAGAATATCCTTACCATTGCTCGGAGTAACCGATCTAAGGAATGCCATTGCATTGCCCATATCACATTAAGGAACAAATGCTAAGCCGTCCATCATGCCACAAAAGAAGCTTAGGGCTTCATCGGTTCTGTATTGGCTTTCCAGACCTAGCTTTTAAATTTTTCTATGGGTACTTTGACACAAATGGTAAAAGCATCCTCTGATTATGATGTGATCCCCTAATTGAAAAAATAAATATAAATAATTTAACATATTAATAATCATACCAATGACAGTTCTAACCGCGCTCATAGCAGACTTTTCGAAATCCATGTATATATATAATGGATCAGGAAATAAATCCCCTTCTTGACATTTAGACATTATTACTTCGAATATTTTTTCGTAAGTATTTTGTGTTTTTTTTTGGAGTTAATGATTGTGGCATTCGCTTATAAAATTATTTATCAATATTAATTATTGCTAGGTTATATTAAAAAAATTAAGGGAAAATTGAGAAGAAAAAAATTGAGAAAAGATCAGAAAAATAAAGATTAACAATGACTTAAAGCAAAAATGGGAAGAAAAATATAAATTGAGAAAAAAATTTAAGAAAAATTGACAAGAAATTTTTTTTAAAAAATAATGATTTTCTTTTCTTTTTGAATTTTTTTTCCATGGGGTTTTTTGCCGGAGGTTTTTTTCCTATTACCGTTAAATACAGTTTTGTATTACACACTATATTAATTTTTGATTATAAAAACAATGAAGTACCTTTTTCCAATTACTGGCGAATATTTAGCAATGTTTCTAAGTATCAACGCTGATATCAAACGGACATTCTTAGTCAAAGAATCTTCTTGAATCTACAAATATAATATAAAACGATTGATTTTTATGATATATGCGAAGGTCGAGAATTCCGACTGGGTTAAATGTTAAGAATATAAAAGCTTAATAGAGAAATTTGAGCGAGTTTAATATTTAAAATGGGGGTTATCTACGTCTACCCAACCATTTGAGTCTGACCCCAATTTGGTTATTTATTTAGTTTAGTATGATTGATAAACATATATTTAAATCACTATTTTAATCAAATGACTAATAACTTAATTAAAGAATTATGAATTTAGATTAAAAACTATTATAATTTTTTTTTACCTCAGTTATTACCTTGCAAGAAAAGGGTTAATTTACCAGGATACCAAGTCAGGAAATTGTTGAAAAAAATATATATTGATAACCATCATGAAATGTGATGGTTAAATAAAATGCCAAGTTCAAAAACTTTTTAGCCTATACTAAAAAGCAATTAAGTATCCAAACACAACATTAATATTTAGTCTGAGTAACATTTATAAAAAATCAATTAATAAAAATGTAAAAAATTACTTTTGACGTGTTAAAACTTAAATTTGCATTTAAATTTTTTATGAGCAATTTTGTGTTAAACATTTTTGGGCCTACTTAATCTAGTTAAAATACATATGCTTAAATTTCAAATAAGTTTATTAGTTTTTAAATTATTTAAGAAATTACCTGCCTCGAGATAACATTATACCCGGTCACCCCTATACATAAACTTATGCAAAATAAGAATGTATATAATTATTAGAAAATGGTTGTATACAGAACAAGAAAAAAAAACAAAATTAATTTATAAAATAAAATGTTATCTTTGTTGGTTTATTTGGAAGAATATATTTTATTTGCATTGCGTTTGATAATTTCCTCTATGGATTTATGAATATTGTGAACAGTTCATTTAAATAATATTTTAGCACATTCTCTTTGAGTATGATGATCTAGTAATATCCTAAATTTTTTAACTTGTTATTTTTTCCTTTGTTAATTTTGTTATTTGACATGATTAGTTTAAAAAAGATGATGGAATGTTAAAAAATGTTAACTTTATAGAGGTCTTACCCAAATGGATAAAAAATTAAAAATCTGACTTTTCAAAGTTCCAATTTATCAAGGCATTTTCTAAAAGTAGTTAATAGAAATTTGGGGACTCAAAATTTTGGTCAAATTAGGAAGTTACACGAATTAGACAGGTTTGACTGTATATTCAAAAATAGTAATTGTTCTACATTGTTAGAAGCTATATTAAATTTATGGAGTTTTTGAAACTAAATAATTCATCTTCCTCAATATAAGAACGTGGACTATTTACTAGCTCCAATACATTATCTTTTTGAATTAAGAGTTCGTATAACATGCTACTCATTTATTTTAATACAGATGAGAGTTGCTAAAAAGGCTCTCTTAAAGTTTACATCAAAATTAAATGGCATGTAGAGGATGTGGAGTTTTTAGTGTTATAGATTGTCTGCTAAACTATATCATATAAACACAATAGAGTAATAAAAACACTCAGTAAAACCATTATTCAAAAAATTTTATATCTTCGGGTTCACTTTCGTAAATACTCATTATATAAATAAAATGGGATTAAATAGTTAATTTTTTCGCTAGGATACCCAAAATGATCATTAGTCATAAATTAAGACTTTTTAAGCATTTATTACATGATAATTGATAAAAAAATATTTGATCTATAAATTACTAAACCGAAAGAAGGTAATTTTTTTATTGATAAATTTTTACTTTTAAAAATTTCATATATTATTTCTTATCTTTACTTTTTTAATAATGGAATAATTTTTGTTCATCAAAAAAGTTGCATCGGTTTATTGGAATTAACAATTATTTTTATATATCGTGTCAAAAATTGAAGTAGGAAATGAAATTAAGTAATTAAATTTTTATGTTAAAAATAATTAATAGCAAGGATGTGAACCCGAACCCTCATGTTTTTGCAGAACCCGAATCCTTTTTATAAATAAAGCCATTTTTTTCGCATTTTTCATTTTTCAAAATTTTTAGTATCTTGCCTCAATTTTATAGGTAAAATATTATTATAAATGATAATTTAAGCTATAAATAATCATATAATAGGAATATATTGCTTAACTTGTTTTTATTAGTGTTGTTAAACGGCTCGTTTTGAGCCGATTTTTAAAAACGGCTAATTCAATATTATATCCAGAAAAATATTACGCAGGCCTGAAGATTTTGCTCACAGAAGGAACAAAGGCTTAGACATATATTATCGAAATCTCGAGGCTTAGGCAATATTTTTCTGCCTAAAATATTGAGTTAGCCGTTTTAAAAAATCGGCTCAAAACGAGCCGTTTAACAACACTAGTTTTTATATCAATTTTTGAGAGTAAAATAATAGGACAAAAACATATAAATAAGTATATAAAATAATATCTATTTTTTCTAGATATTCAATTAATAAATAAAATATGATGCATATTGTCAGATATGCGCAATAATCTTAAAGAGGATATTTTGGAACATGTTATGATTGTTCGATTTAATAAAACATTAACTAAAATATAAATTTTTTGCTAGTAAATTATGTTTATGATATATATTTAGTAGAATATTAAAAAAAATTGTTATTTTATTAATATTGGGACAATTTTTCTTTATGCTTTCCAAACCCTAAATCCGCTTTTAAAATTTTTTTCTCTGAACCCGAACCTTTTTTTTGTCGAAGAGTTTATATATGGGATGTGAACCCGTACCCTCGTATTTTTGCTAGACTCAAACCCCACCCTTTTAAGTTAAGAATTCTGGGTGTCAAAAAAAAATATTAAAAATAATAAATCATTTTTACTTTCCGCATATATCAAAATTTCTTGGTTTATATATTTCAATTTAGGTAAATCTTGTTTTAATTTATATCAATTTTAAAAAGTGAAATATAGTGAATTTTTAGTGAAGGTAATAACATTTTATTTTAAATGTATTAATATGTTATATAATAGGAACGTAGCTTATTTGTTTAATCAATTTTAGGTGAAATTTTCAAAGCAGATGCGCAAGAGTGGTAATTCCCCCCACCATAAATATGCCTGTTCTCGTAATTATCATTTTAAGCTAAAAAAAATTCCTGCCTACATTACCCTTTCTCCAAAAAATGTATACAATATATCAAAACAAAGAAGAATTTTAATTAAAATTTAATGAAAGTTAATAACCTTTTAAAATAACGACTATAATATATTATGAAAAAAAAACATATTTATATAAAAACCCAAAATTATTTTAATAAAAACCTATTATAGAGCCAAAGGCTTATAATAAGTGGACCTAAGTATCCCCAATAAAATTTATGGGGACAAAACCTACCTGATAATGCCCCCCTCCCCACTTAATAATCTGATACGATCCGATATTAAATATCTAATTTTGTATTCAAGATACCGATGGTTTTTTTTTGTAATATACTTTTTATTAGTATAACATCTATAATATAATTATACCATAACGTATGTCATTTAAATATATTACAATGATCAGTTATAGTTTATATTCAATTCTATTGCAATTCTAAAAGTATATAAAATATTTTTATTGTTAAATAACTTTTATATAATAAGTAACAACATTAATCTATATACATAATAAGTAATAAACAAATATAATTTCTTTTTAGAAATGTCAAAATATCCAATTTATCAGAAATCAGCCTGATGGAAACTGTCAATATCACCAGCTTCACTAAAACAGATTCTGAAGAGATTATCGCACAATTTTATAAACAGAATGCGCAAATAAATAACAAAAAAAAATATGGATATTTTATTAATAAAAATAAATGATTTTAGATATAACTTTTTAATTTATAACATTTTATTTTTGTTAAAGACGTCATTTAATATCGGATCGGCAAATTTTATAATATTGGCCGATAACCGAGGAAGAGGGTCCCATGATTATAAGATTCTAATAATAATATTATAATTTAAAATGGTTTGATAATCGATTATCCATATCATCATTTATGGGAATAAATCCAATATCAACAAGATGCTGAATTGAGATTAAATAATTTAAAATTCTATTTTTACTTAATATTATTGGAAAAAAAATATATTTACTAGCTTATTACAATTTAAATTTTATTTTTCAATTGCAAAATTTAACAAATATATATCCATAAAAGGGCGTTAAAGGCATAAATATGGAAATATATTCTTAGGAAACCAGAATAATTATTGGATAGCGCTTTTTTTATATTTGAGTGTAAATACATGTAAAAAACTAAAAAATTTTTAAAAAATATAGGTTTCTTTGATATTTAATTAATGAGTAGGTTTAGAATCGAAAAATAATAGAAAATTTGTACGGCATAATATTGCTGGCGTTATTGGTCAAAATCTCTTCATTTTTGGTTTATAAGTGTATCATTAGGTGTTAAGCATTCTAAAAAATATTTTGAAAATATTATACAATTTACTAAATGAATTTGGTAGTAATATTAATTGACCATTTTGTAATAAGCCATGATTTATATACAATGTAAACTCCGCCATATTTTTGTTTACCAAATTGTAACCAATTGTATTATATTGATAATTGTTTATCTCAATCGTCTTTACTTTAAAATTGTAGATATATAGTTTAAATAAAGACAATTAGAAGGGCCTGGCACGGCCTCAGCTTACCAAATTAAATATGGCGGGAAATCAGACATTTTTAAAACAATATGATTTATAATTATATAATAATTTTAAATTTTAACGGCTAATATTTAAAATTATTATTTATTTATTATTTTTTTATGTACTTTCACTTTTTTATTTTTGCTTTAGAAAATGCCAAAAAATTTTTTTAAAAAATTTTAGAATTTTCATGAAATTGAAAAATACCAGGCATTCAGGTAATCTCGACAGAGGTGGAGGGAGGAATAATTTTTTGTAATATTGAAATTATTTTTTTTAACATTAAAAATTTATTTTAATTAAGATTATTTATTAAGCCCTGGGGTTTGAGCTCGGCATTCGGT